TCTTTACTGCTAGGACATTCAACATTCCGGAACGTCGATCTGGCAGCCAGGTCCTTCCTGGAGGGTGTGACAATGTCTAGGGTCTGCCATGCGTGACGCGCGTGTCTCCTAGTTCCACGCTGACTACGGCGTCCGTCCGCCCCACTCGTTGATGTTATGTACTCTCCCCAGTGGCTTTGGACGTCTGTGGAGGCAGCTCTTGATGTCATGTACTCTCCCCCGTGGCTTTGGACGTCTGTGGAGGCAGCTCTTGATGTCATGTACTCCCCCAGAGGCTTTGGACGTCTGTGGAGGCAGCTCTTGATGTCATGTACTCTCCCCCGTGGCTTTGGACGTCTGTGGAGGCAGCTCTTGATGTCATGTACTCTCCCCTGTGGCTTTGGATGTCTGTGGAGGCAGCTCTTGATGTCATGTACTCTCCCCTGTGGCTTTGGACGTCTGTGGAGGCAGCTCTTGATGTCATGTACTCTCCCCCGTGGCTTTGGACGTCTGTGGAGGCAGCTCTTGATGTCATGTACTCTCCCCCGTGGCTTTGGACGTCTGTGGAGGCAGCTCTTGATGTTATGTACTCCCCCGTGAGGCTTTGGACGTCTGTGGAGGCAGCTCTTGATGTTATGTACTCCCCCGTGGCTTTGGACGTCTGTGGAGGCAGCTCTTGATGTCATGTACTCTCCCCCGTGGCTTTGGACGTCTGTGGAGGCAGCTCTTGATGTCATGTACTCTCCCCCGTGGCTTTGGACGTCTGTGGAGGCAGCTCTTGATGTCATGTACTCTCCCCCGTGGCTTTGGACGTCTGTGGAGTCTCTTGATGTCAATTTATCGCGTGCAGTAGACGGCGTTGATTCCAGGTGCACGTCGATAGGTTTTAGTCCCACATGGCCACTCTGGCGTTGCTGTACTTTAGGCCCACTTATAACGTGGTGGCGTAGTACGGGCTGGGCGTAGCGAGGTAGGAAGTGCATACTCCAGGGACAGGTATAAGCCGCAAGTGATCTCCCGACGAATATGTAAATGTCCCCAGACAGTGTCGTGGCAAGCAACAAGTCCCTCGCCTGTAACTTAATCCTACTTGTTAGTTATTGAGACGTTTATGGCATAGTACCGGCTACACGGAAGGTGCCCCAAGGTCCAATTCCCGCCAAACACATTACGTAACCACGACTTGTTCCAACAAGTTTAAACAGCTAACGAGTTGTAACAACCAATATATAACATGATGTTACAACGTTCTAATACGTCATACAAACGTTATAACAAGGTGTAACGACTTTATTACAAGTTGTAACAAGTGGAAAATAGGGACAGTTACGATGTGTGTGTTTGCAGAGTTAAGCCCCTAAGGTGGGGCGGGCTTCTGACTAGCGCCTCAACCATAATGTCATAGGACCTGTAAATAGTGGTTCACTGCAAATTATATACTACTAAATTGCATATACTACCAAGATTCTGATCGATGTATCCCAAGTTTGGCTCCCAGCCGTGGTTAGTGACTGACTCCCCTCCCCCCCCCCACCTCCACGTGCATGCGTTCGGACTCTATAATTGGCGAAAGAACAATTGAACAATGACACAAACTCAGAAATGTAAATTGTCGAACATAATGGATATTAGAGTTCAGTTCCTGAATCCTTTATATGATTTGTTGGGGGTCCGCCGCCGACGGGATGGGTATGGGGTCCACCACCACCCACGGGATGGGTATGGGGTCCACCACCACCCACAGGATGGGTATGGGGTCCACCACCACCCACGGGATGGGTATGGGGTCCACCACCACCCACAGGATGGGTATGGGGTCCACCACCACCCACGGGATGGGTATGGGGTCCACCACCACCCACGGGATGGGTATGGGGTCCACCACCACCCACGGGATGGGTATGGGGTCCACCACCACCTACGGGATGGGTATGGGGTCCACCACCACCTACGGGATGGGTATGGGGTCCACCACCACCCACAGGATGGGTATGGGGTCCACCACCACCTACGGGATGGGTATGGGGTCCACCACCACCTACGGGATGGGTATGGGGTCCACCACCACCTACGGGATGGGTATGGGGTCCACCACCACCCACAGGATGGGTATGGGGTCCACCACCACCCACGGGATGGGTATGGGGTCCACCACCACCTACGGGATGGGTATGGGGTCCACCACCACCTACGGGATGGGTATGGGGTCCACCACCACCTACGGGATGAGTATGGGGTCCACCACCACCTACGGATGGGTATGGGGTCCACCACCACCTACGGGATGGGTATGGGGTCCACCACCACCCACAGGATGGGTATGGGGTCCACCACCACCTACGGGATGGGTATGGGGTCCACCAGCACCCACAGGATGGGTATGGGGTCCACCACCACCCACGGGATGGGTATGGGGTCCACCACCACCTACGGGATGGGTATGGGGTCCCAGACGTGCCCCAAGACTTTCATGGGGGATTAAGACATACCTCCATATTCCTGGATCTTTCCAGTGCCAAGGTTAATCCTTTCACTCTTGGGGATAGCCTGTCCCTGTGGGATAGCCTGTCCCTGTGGGATAGCCTGTCCCTGTGGGATAGCCTGTCCCTGTGGGATAGCCTGTCCCTGTGGGATAGTCTGTCCCTGTGGGATAGCCTGTCCCTGTGGGATAGCCTGTCCCTGTGGGATAGTCTGTCCCTGTGGGATAGCCTGTCCCTGTGGGATAGCCTGTCCCTGTGGGATAGCCTGTCCCTGTGGGATAGCCTGTCCCTGTGGGATAGCCTGTCCCTGTGGGATAGCCTGTCCCTGTGGGATAGCCTGTCCCTGTGGGATAGCCTGTCCCTGTGGGATAGCCTGTCCCTGTGGGATAGCCTGTCCCTGTGGGATAGCCTGTCCCTGTGGGATAGCCTGTCCCTGTGGGATAGTCTGTCCCTGTGGGATAGCCTGTCCCTGTGGGATAGCCTGTCCCTGTGGGATAGTCTGTCCCTGTGGGATAGCCTGTCCCTGTGGGATAGTCTGTCCCTGTGGGATAGCCTGTCCCTGTGGGATAGCCTGTCCCTGTGGGATAGCCTGTCCCTGTGGGATAGCCTGTCCCTGTGGGATAGCCTGTCCCTGTGGGATAGCCTGTCCCTGTGGGATAGTCTGTCCCTGTGGGATAGTCTTCTCCACACACACCAGAAGTGTACACAAAAACATACTACAACGTATTGTAATTATGAGGAAAATATCTGTATATGTCTAAATAGTACTTGTAGGGGACACGAGGACAATGAGCTGAGATATGAGGACAAGGAGCTGGGATATGAGGACAAGGAGCTGAGATATGAGGACAAGGAGCTGGGATATGAGGACAAGGAGCTGGGATATGAGGACAAGGAGCTGGGATATGAGGACAAGGAGCTGAGATATGAGGACAAGGAGCTGAGATATGAGGACAAGGGGCTGGGATATGAGGACAATGAGCTGGGATATATGGACAAGGAGCTGGGATATATGGACAACGAGCTGGGATATGAGGACAAGGAGCTGGGATATGAGGACAAGGAGCTGGGATATATGGACAAGGAGCTGAGATATGAGGACAAGGGGCTGGGATATATGGACAAGGAGCTGGAATATGAGGACAAGGAGCTGGGATATATGGACAAGGAGCTGGGATATATGGACAAGGAGCTGGGATATATGGACAAGGAGCTGGGATATGAGGACAAGGAGCTGGGATATGAGGACAAGGAGCTGGGATATATGGACAAGGAGCTGGAATATGAGGACAAGGAGCTGGGATATATGGACAAGGAGCTGGGATATGAGGACAAGGAGCAGGGATATGAGGACAAGGAGCTGGGATATAAGGACAAGGAGCTGGGATATATGGACAAGGAGCTGGGATATGAGGACAAGGAGCTGGGATATATGGACAAGGAGCTGGGATATGAGGACAAGGAGCTGGGATATATGGACAAGGAGCTGGGATATTAGGACAAGGAGCTGGGATATGAGGACAAGGAGCTGGGATATGAGGACAAGGAGCTGGGATATGAGGACAAGGAGCTGGTATATGAGGAAAAGGGGCTGGTATATGAGGACAAGGAGCTGGGATATAAGGACAAGGAGCTGGGATATGAGGACAAGGGGCTGGTATATGAGGACAAGGAGCTGGTATATGAGGAAAAGGGGCTGGGATATGAGGACAAGGAGCTGGTATATGAGGACAAGGAGCTGGGATATGAGGACAAGGGGCTGGGATATGAGGACAAGGGGCTGGGATATTAGGACAAGGAGCTGGGATATTAGGACAAGGAGCAGGGATATGAGGACAAGGAGCAGGGATATGAGGACAAGGAGCTGGGATATAAGGACAAGGAGCTGGGATATAAGGACAAGGAGCTGGGATATGAGGACAAGGGGCTGGTATATGAGGACAAGGAGCTGGTATATGAGGAAAAGGGGCTGGGATATGAGGACAAGGAGCTGGTATATGAGGACAAGGAGCTGGGATATGAGGACAAGGGGCTGGGATATGAGGACAAGGGGCTGGGATATTAGGACAAGGAGCTGGGATATTAGGACAAGGAGCAGGGATATGAGGACAAGGAGCAGGGATATGAGGACAAGGAGCTGGGATATAAGGACAAGGAGCTGGGATATAAGGACAAGGAGCTGGGATATGAGGACAAGGGGCTGGTATATGAGGACCAGGAGCTGGTATATGAGGAAAAGGGGCTGGGATATGAGGACAAGGAGCTGGTATATGAGGACAAGGAGCTGGGATATGAGGACAAGGAGCTTGGATATGAGGACAAGGAGCTGGTATATGAGGACAAGGGGCTGGTATATGAGGACAAGGAGCTGGTATATGAGGACAAGGAGCTGGTATATGAGGACAAGGAGCTGGTATATGAGGACAAGGAGCTGGGATATGAGGACAAGGAGCTTGGATATGAGGACAAGGAGCTTAGATATGAGGACAAGGAGCTGGGATATGAGAACAAGGAGCTGGGACATATGAGGACAGACACGTGATGGCATTAGGAACAGATATGCACGACAACGCGTCATGCCACACCCAAGGGCCGCCCGCGCCACACCCAAGGGCCGCCCGCGCCACACCCAAGGGCCGCCCGCGCCACACCCAAGGGCCGCCCCCGCCACACCCAAGGGCCGCCCACGCCACACCCAAGGGCCGCCCACGCCACACCCAAGGGCCGCCCGCGCCACACCCAAGGGCCGCCCGCGCCACACCCAAGGGCCGCCCGCGCCACACCCAAGGGCCGCCCGCGCCACACCCAAGGGCCGCCCGCGCCACACCCAAGGGCCGCCCGCGCCACACCCAAGGGCCGCCCGCGCCACACCCAAGGGCCGCCCGCGCCACACCCAAGGGCCGCCCGCGCCACACCCAAGGGCCGCCCACGCCACACCCAAGGGCCGCCCGCGCCACACCCAAGGGCCGCCCGCGCCACACCCAAGGGCCGCCCGCGCCACACCCAAGGGCCGCCCACGCCACACCCAAGGGCCGCCCGCGCCACACCCAAGGGCCGCCCGCGCCACACCCAAGGGCCGCCCACGCCACACCCAAGGGCCGCCCACGCCACACCCAAGGGCCGCCCGCGCCACACCCAAGGGCCGCCCGCGCCACACCCAAGGGCCGCCCACGCCACACCCAAGGGCCGCCCGCGCCACACCCAAGGGCCGCCCGCGCCACACCCAAGGGCCGCCCGCGCCACACCCAAGGGCCGCCCGCGCCACACCCAAGGGCCGCCCGCGCCACACCCAAGGGCCGCCCGCGCCACACCCTGTGAGGGAGCCACACCCAAGGGCCGCCCGCGCCACACCCAAGGACCGCCCTTGCCACACCCTGTGAGGGAGCCACACCTGTGAGGGAGCCACACCTGTGAGGGAGCCACACCTGTGAGGGAGCCACACCTGTGTGTACACAAGGCCAGTGGCCAGGACCGCCCCCCCCCCGACACTGAACAAGACAAGATATGAAAATAAAACTTTTTTCAGGACTTTTTTTTTTGGAGACAATAATTGAAGGATTGCCTCCCCCTACCCTGGAGGGCAGGGGGGGGGGCACAACAACCACACTACTACCACAACTGGACGAACCACTACCAAAACAACACATCCTGGACCTGGGTAGACTGGGCGGGTCCAGAGGTCCAGAACCCCATCAAGCAGGTGTACCTCCCTACCCACCAGGGTGTACCCCCCTACCCACCAGGGTGTACCTCCCTACCCACCAGGGTGTACCCCCCCTACCCACCAGGGTGTACCCCTACACACCAGGGTGTACCCCTACCCACCAGGGTGTACCCCCCTACCCACCAGGGTGTACCCCCTACCCACCAGGGTGTACCCCCCTACCCACCAGGGTGTACCCCCCTACCCACCAGGGTGTACCCCCCCTACCCACCAGGGTGTACCCACCTACCCCCCAGGGTGTATTTTTTTTTTTTTGGGGAGTAAAGAGGAAGGAGAGGCATAGGTGAAGGGAAGTATAGAAGTGGGAAATACAGTGAGAGGTTTGAAAGCAGGCGGGCTGTCCGCCTTGCTGACACGATGTGTGGGTGTTGGCAGCTAAGCTAAGCTGGCTCCCTCTTGTCAGGGAGCTGTGAGTGTGAGAGAGGTTCTTCACATGTGTTTCACCATATATGGATGTCCATAGATGAATACTGTGTAGCATTCATATATACACACTCCGATGCTTCCACACATGTTATTCTGTTTAAGGCTCTTTATTTTATTATTATTATTTATCGAGTTGTCATACATACATATTATTTATCGAGTTGTTCATACATACACATATATGAACTGTTCATATATATACATATATAACTCATCTGGGGATTATATACTGTGGGGCGGGATTTTCGTCCAGAGAATCGAGGCTCTTGGGCCACCAGCTGTGGGAGCGGGGCGTCTCATCTTGGAGCAATCTTTCGGGTCCTCTAACATTTCGATGGTGTTCCACACCCTGATGGCTTGGTGCTGCAGTCTGATGTTTAGTGGCTGTGTTTTCAGGAGTTCGTGGAGCTCCTGGATTGTCTGATCATATGGTGGACGGTGTTTTGCTGCTCTCCTTAGCGCCTTATTTTGTACTGCTTGCAGTTTCTGCATGTTAGTTTTCTTTATGCTGTGTAGTGGTACTGGGGGATATTCTAGATGCGGCCGAACTAGAGCCTTGTATAGGTGGATCTGAATGTTAGTACTGAGGCTTCGGAATCTTCTCAGTTTTCCTAATGCTGCTTTGGCTTTGTTTAGTCGGTCCCTTACATGAATTTGTATCCCTGTTCTATTTATCATAAGGGTGTACTCCCCTACCCACCAGGGTGTACCCCCTACCCACCAGGGTGTACCCCCCTACCCACCAGGGTGTACCCCCTACCCACCAGGGTGAACCCACCTACCCACCAGGGTGTACCCCCCTACCCACCAGGGTGTACCCCCTACCCACCAGGGTGTACCCCCTACCCACCAGGGTGTACCCCCCCTACCCACCAGGGTGTACCCCCCTACCCACCAGGGTGTACCCACCTACCCCCCAGGGTGTACCCCCCTACCCACCAGGGTGTACCCCCCTACCCACCATGGTGTACCCCTACCCACCAGGTGTACCCCCCCTACCCACCATGGTGTACCCCCTACCCACCAGGGTGTACCCCCTACCCACCAGGTGTACCCCCAACCCACCAGGGTGTACCCCGTACCCACCAGGGTGTACCCCCCTACCCACCAGGGTGTACCCCGTACCCACAAGGGTGTACCCCCTACCCACCAGGGTGTACCCCTACCCACCAGGGTGTACCCCCTACCCACCAGGGTGTACCCCCTACCCACCAGGGTGTACCCCCCTACCCACCAGGGTGTACCCCCCTACCCACCAGGGTGTACCCCCTACCCACCAGGATGTACCCCTTACCCACCAGGGTGAGAATACATCACTTACGCTGATGATGTTACCCAAATAATATGCCAACCGGGCCCATCAAAGCCGCTACTAACCGACAAGACCAAGGCGGCAATTGAACTCATAAACAACTTTGAGAAGCAATGGAAAATTAGCACCAACAAACAAAAGAAAACTAACATGCAGAAACTGCAAGCAGTACAAAATAAGGCGCTAAGGAGAGCAGCAAAACACCGTCCACCATATGATCAGACAATCCAGGAGCTCCACGAACTCCTGAACACACAGCCACTAAACATCAGACTGCAGCACCAAGCCATCAGGGTATGGAACACCATCGAAATGTTAGAGGACCCAATGTTTGAAAGATTACTCCAAGATGAGACGCCCCGCTCCCACAGCTGGTGGCCCAAGAGCCTCGATTCTCTGGACGAAAACCCCGCCCCACAGTATATAATCCCCAGATGAGTTATATATGTATATATATGAACAGTTCATATATGTGTATGTATGAACAACTCGATAAATAATATGTATGACAACTCGATAAATAATAATAATAAAATAAAGAGCCTTAAACAGAATAACGTGTGTGGAAGCATCGGAGTGTGTATATATGAATGCTACACAGTATTCATCTATGGACATCCATATATGGTGAAACACATGTGAAGAACCTTCACACACTCACAGCTCCCTGACAAGAGGGAGCCAGCTTAGCTTAGCTGCCAACACCCACACATCGTGTCAGCAAGGCGGACAGCCCGCCTGCTTTCATACCTCTCACTGTATTTCCCACTTCTATACTTCCCTTCACCTATGCCTCTCCTTCCTCTTTACTCCCCCCCCCCCCCAAAAAAAAAGGTGTACTCCCCTACCCCCCAGGGTGTACCCCCTACCCACTACCCAAGGTGGACAACTTATTCCATCACCTTCTTAAGATATCCTCAACCGAGATAAAATTTTCCTGTTGTCTGATCAGGTTTCTCACACACGGAACGGAAACTTGTCCAAACCGTATACATTTTTGACGGAGTGGCCGTCCCATACCTCGGGCACCTACGAGGGCCCAGGAGCTGGAATATCACCACACAGGACCGGAAATCCTACAGGCCTTCCCGCGGACTTTCTAGGACCTTGAGCGCACACGATTTTCCGGACACCAGTGAAAGTCACCCGCCGTCACGAGGCGTCGGAAATATCTTGGTGTAGGTCCCTAGAGGAGGGGGGATTCCTGCAGCCCTCGGGGTCGTGTGAGAGTAGGGGGAGAGTTAGAGGGGGGAGGGTGAAGGGGGAGGGTGAAGGGGGAGGGGGTTATGTCAGGTAGAGGGGGGAAGGGGATTTATCAGGGGGGGGGGGAAGCGCCAAGTTATTTCGACTATATAGCACTGGGAAGGGGTCAGGATAAGGATTTGGGTTGGGACGAGGGAAAAGGAATGGTGCCCAACCACTTGGATGGTCGGGGATTGAACGCCGACCTGCATGACGCGAGACCGTCGCTCCCCACCCCTCTTGAACACTGTGGGGGGTCGGCCAGTAATACCCCTTATGTGTAGTGGAAGCGTGTTGAACAGTCTCGGGCCTCTGATGTTGATACAGTTCTCTGAGTACCTGTTGAACCTCTGCTTTTCAATAGGGTTATTTGGCACATCGTGCCATGCCTCCTGGTCTCATGTGGTGTTATTTCTGTGTGCAGGTTTGGGACCAGCCCCTTTACTATTGTCCACATGTAAATTATTATGTATCTCTCCCGCCTGCGCTCAACAGAATACAGATTTAAGCAGTTTTGTCCGTCCCAATAGTTTAGATGTTTTACTGAGTGGACCTGAGTTTTACTAGATACTGGGTATCTTTTACTGTCTTAGATACTGGATATCTTTACTTTTACAGTAGGTAGTTGTAATACTGGTGAGGTTGGCAGTAGGTAATGCCTTGGAACGTAAGTTTCGTAGGAAACGTGGTTCCATGCGTTTCGAAGCACCAAAGTGGCGTTTTTACTTTATTGGTGGAAAAAAAGTGATTTGTCCTCCATTATGGCTCGTTGAACATGAAACTATTACCCCTTGTGTGTGTTACATTGAGCCTATTAAGGAGGAATTATATATCCTACAAAAAAATACTCAATGTGTTGAGTATTTTAAATTTATCGATGAGATGAGCCTTGTCATGTCTGGTTTGCTGCGCTTGCCACGTGGCCCTCAACCGTCGATTTAGTTCTGTGATGATTTTTGTCGCTCTGAGCTCAGCTCTCTTCAGAGCAAATATGTCCTTCTAGGCGAGGTTCCCATGCTTGTATACAGTAGTGAACGTCTCTCTGTTTAATACTAATATTCTTTCCCCTTGAAGTTTGTGTATGATTATTCCCAAGGTTTGGTTGGCTTTATGTATTATAAGAACTACTCCTCGCCCATGCTCAGCAACTGTCACTCATTGGTTCCTTTATTTGTCAATCTGTTGCATGGTTTTGTTGGTAATATGATAGTTATGATGTGTATTGTTATGCCTTACAGGCAAGGTCTTGCATTTTCAATATTGAAAAGAATTTCTGGATTCCAGTTGATGGCTTCAGAAGGCCACAGGGTATAGAGGTATGAGAGGCATACACAGCCTACACCGTATGGGCGTACTGGAGGCAGCCTAGCCACATACAACCGTTATTTTCTCAACTTGTACCGTAGCGCTGTATCATCTTATCAACGCGACCTCTGTAGTGTTTTACGAGTCGTTACAAGAGTTGTGTAACCCGCTAGTGTGCGATGTTCACCGTCACGTTTACTGTGTGGAACCTGTCCTCTTAAAAATAACGTCACTTTTGGCCGTTTGCCCGTATGGCCGAATTTGGACGTAATTTGAAAATTAAAAATAAAATGAAAATAAATTTGGGAT